TTTAACAGCTGCCGTAGCAGTTCGAAAACGTTGGGGTTTTTAACCCCTTGCGCTTACAAGTAATTAATTTTGTTTCCTGATGAGTAAGAAATTTTAATAAACGATTTTGTTTTATACCAGGAGAAATTTATAGCGCAAATTACGCAGTCTGGTTCCTCTGTGGTTGGATCGAAGGTTTCCACCTTTTGCAAATGTTTGAATGAAGAACTTCACCCATCTTTTGTTTTGTTTAATCCCCCATAAACCCATTGAGATGGGCGCGTTGCAATTGGGGCAGCATTTACCACCGAGAAAGAGACACAATACTAGCAAACGCCTAGCTGATGTGGATGTAATTTCTGAAATATTCGAAAATTGAAATTCGTGATCGTGGGAATTAAATTCGCATGAGAATATAAGGAGCTGTTTTTAGGCAATCGGTAGGATGTTTGCAGTGTGATGTTGTTTGCTCAGACCTGTTATGTTTTGAAGAATGAATGAGAACATTTCGTACCAGGGTTTTCTCCTGTGCAATGGTGGTAGCTAGTGAGATTTGTGCTATGAGGAATTGTTACCGTAGGGGTTATACTGAGCACAGCCAGCTTCCTCCCTCAAGCAGCCCTCAACAACAAAACAAAAGACAATCAATCCCCTTCAATTCTGTTTATTCAGATCATATAATTCTTGTAATTTGGACTTCAACATAATACAGCATATTGCACTTACCGGAGAGCAGCACAAGAGAGAAAAAAAAAAGTACAATACTTCAGTTTATTTCCAAGGAAGAATAAAATGTGGTGACAGTTGTTGCTCTTCTTAAATATATGAAACCAACTGAAAGTCTATGTACACAAGATTTACTAAGTCCCTGAATACACCATTTGAAATTTTACACAGACTTTTTTGCTTTTCTTGTATTTTTTTTACAGGGATATACAGTATGTGACACACAGTTTCAGCTTGAGAACACTCTGCACAATTATACTCCAGCTACAAGGCTGTTGTTTTCTTTTTGGTGGGTCTTTTGGAAGGATCCCCTCAGATTTATGACAAGGATTACTCAGATAATTTTCTTCAGTATTGTCCCCCGATTCCCCACCCCCTCCACCTCGCTAGAATGCTGAAGGAAATACCAATTAAAAATAAGTCTAGAAGAAAGCCGTTACATCATGACAAAGGTTAAACTGTATATATTGCACATCAGTACATAAACATAATGCAGTAACACTCGGATCCCCCCCTTTCCCTCTCTCCCACATGTCCCTTCTTGCTTCTGGGGGAACCTAACTGTACTCATAGTCTGATGAGTCCTCCTCAGACACCCCTTTCGTGTCTCTGTGGTAAGAGTCCATGCCGTTCTCATCCATCTCACCCCCCGGCTGGAGGCTTTTGCCCGTGCCTTTGCGCTCCTCCATTTTAATGGTGTCGTAGAGTCCTTTAGGTCCTTCTTCAAGGAGGATGTTCCTCTCTGAGTGAGAGGGTTTCATTTGGCAGACGTTTTTGAGGAAGAGAAGGACAGGAGCGTACAGCACGTTGGCGAGCCCCATGCCCAGGTTGAGCTGCGCAAAGCCCATGGTGTGCACAATCTGGCCGGCCACGATGGGCCCCAGGGCGTACGCCACGGAGTAGGAGATGTCTGCGATGGCGTAGACGCTGCCGTAGACAGAGACGTGGCGCACGTCCACGAGGAAGGCCAGGGTGGGCAGCAGGGCCGTGTCCACCAGCGCGATGCCGAAGCAGATGCCGCAGAGGGGAACGATGACCTGCCCGAAATTCCTGCAGGCCGGCACCAGGCAGGAGCTGGCGCCGATGACGGCCATGCCCAGGGCCCCGTAGAACCACTGCAGGTGGGGGTACGCGGCGGCCAGCCGGACGGTGACGTAGACGCCCAGCACGTGGGGGAAGAAGGCGGGCAGCCAGGTGAGGCCCACCTCCCACTCGCTGGCCCCCATGGAGTCCTTCATCCAGTTGGCGATGGTGGGCTCCAGGAAGGCCAGGGGGATGTTG